TATAGAGAAGATCATGAACCTGAAAGAACATTTTGCATACGAAAGAGATTGATACATGCTACGCAACAACCAAAATAGGGAAAATTTATTGCTGAAGCTCAAGAATTTCAAGAGTGGGTACAAGAAGACGCAATCATGATTGAACCCAACATCATCGGTATAGCTAATGAAAAGGCGCAAAGCATTAGAGACTATGCAGTCTTTGACCTTAGTGCTATGAGTATTGGAATCATTAGGCATGAGATAACTGATGCTCAGTTTGAATTCAAACCTATGATGTTTCAGATGCTGCAAGCCATATTCTCATGAAGATCCTTATCTTCACTTGAGACAATTTCTGGAGGTGGCTAGTAATTTCAAAATTTCAGGCATAACAAATGATGCATTCAAGTTGAGGCTCTTTCCGTACTCTCTAAGGGATAGAACTAATAGTTAGTTAAATTACTTAGAGCCTAATTCCATTTATATTTGAAACACATTGGTTGAAAAATTTATGTCCAAGTATTTCCTTCTTATCAAGAATGCAAAGATGGGAAATGAAATCACTTCATTCAGATAAGGAGAAGATGAGTCCCTGTTTGATGCATGGAGAAAATTCAGAGATTTGCTTAGACAATGTCCACTCCACGGAATACCTATTTGTATATAGCTTGAAACATTTTACAATGGGTTGGTTCTATCTTCAAGAAACATGTTAGGTGCTTCTAATGGTGGAGCTTTGTTGTCTAAATCTTATGAAGAAGGGTACAAGTTGATTGAAGGCATTACGACCAACATTTACCAATGGCCTATAACAAGGTTTGGAGGAAGTCAAACATCAAAGAAACCTGTTGGTGTCCATGAAGTTTCTGAATCCAACGCTCTTGCTGCTCAAATAGCTCAGATTCATCAGATGGTGAAGAATATGATGACTACCCATGAAGTAGCCAAACCTGAACCAATCAAGGTGGTTACTGACGCGACTATAATTACATGTATATACTGTGGAGGAGCGCATTCATTTGAAGAATGTTCATCAAACCCTGTGTATGTTAACTATGTTGGCAACAACAAATATAACAACCCCTACAGAAACACATGTAATACTGGCTGGCGTAATCATCCTAATTTTTCATGTAGCAACACTCAAAATCAACTCAACAAATCCTAAGCAACACAACACACTCAAGCACCAAAAATTCCACCTGGTTATTTTGCACCAAACTATCAGCAAAATTAAGAAAGTAACCAGTTAGAGAATGTTATAAAATCTTTCATTCAAGGGGCAAAAACTCAATTTCAAACACAAGGAGCAAGTATCAAGAACCTCTAAAATCAATTTGGGCAAATTGATACTGCCCTTAGTTCTAGAAACATGGGAACTCTTCCCAGTTCAACTGAAGCCTCTGCCACTACCTCAAGAGTCAAAATTGTTGAAACTTGCAAGGTTATCAAACTAAGGAGTGGCAAAGAATGTGAAGGATCAACAAGATAACAGTCAAGTGGAGAACTGACACCATAAGACACCATTTCAAAAAAAGAACCCATTAAGGAACCGACCTCAGAGGAACAAAAAGGAAGCAGTGACAAGAGGAGGGACGAAGGTATGATTTCTAGTTCAGAGAAGCAGAAAGGAGTCATGCCTGAAGTTGACAAGACACCAAATATTTCTCAAAAAAGACCACCACCACCTTTTCCTCATAGTATTAGGAAAGCAAAATAAGAACATCAGTTTGGAAAAATCATGGAGATTCTGAAGTAACTGCATATTAATATCTCTTTGATTGAAACCAGACAACAAATTCCAAACTACTCCAAATTCACGAAGGATGTACTCACCAAAAAAAAGAGTAGGTGGATTTTTTAATGTTGCTTTAACACAAGAATGCAATCAGCTTGTGCAAGGAACACTACCCCAAAAGCTGAAGGATCCTGGCAGTTTTACAATTTCATGCAACATTGGAGAGTCATTTTGTGGCAGGGCTCTGTGCGACCTTGGTGCAAGTATAAATTTGATGTCCTTATATAATGGGTATAGGTATCGCTTAACCAACAACCATTACACTTCAGTTGGCTGATATGAGCATTTGATATCCACAAAGAAAAATTAAAGATATGATAGTGAGGGTTGATAAGTTTGAGTTTCCCACTAACTTCATCATTATGGATTTCAACGCTGATAAGGATACTCATATTTTGTTAGGAATAACATTCCTTTCCACTAGAAGAACATTAATTGATATGGAGAAAGGAAAGCTAACAATGCGAGTTAATGGAGAACAAGTTGTGCTCAACGTGTTAAATGCTTTGCAATACCCCGAGGAAGATGTAGCTGAATGTTTAATGATTCCCAATTGGGAGACCATTATTCACAAGAGTCTCTCAAATCAACTGATGTTTTAGAGCAAGAATTAGGAAGATTAAAGGAAGGGGATCATTTGAAGGAAGAAATCATAAATGGACATTTGTGCAAGTCAGTAGACGAAGAAGAACCATTGGAATTATTGGAGTTGACTGAAGAATTGAAGAATCAATGCAAGCCATCTATAGAAGTTCCACCAGAACTAGAGCTCAAGTAGTTACCTCCTCACATGTAATTCGTATACCTGGAGGCAGGACAAAAGTTGTCTGTCATCGTAGCTACAGACTTATCTGAAGAACGGAGGTGTCAACTTTTGACACTTCTCAAGAAACAAAAAAGAGTTATTGCTTAGCAACTGTCTGACATCAAGGGAATTAACCCTATTGTTTGTATGCACAAAATTCTATTGGAGGAAAATTCAAAAAACAACATTGAATGTCAAAGAAGGCTAAACCCTATCATGAAAAAAGTAGTAAAGAAGGAAATCATTAAGTGGTTGGACGCAGGGATCATTCACCCCATTTATGATAGCATTTGGGTGAGTCTTATCCAGCGTGTCCCGAAGAAAGGAGACATGACTATAGTCACCACTGAGAAGGATGAGCTGATTCTAACAAGAACTGTAACCGGATGGAAAATTTGCATGGACTATAGAAAGTTAAACAAAGCTACAAGGAAGGACCATTTTCCCTTTCCTTTCATTGATCAAATGTTGGATCGGTTAGCTGGAAAAGAGTATTATTGTTTCTTAGATGGCTATTCCGGTTATAACCAAATAGCCATGCATCTGGAAGACCAAGGAAAAATAACTCTCACGTGCCCCTATGAAACTTTTGCCTTTAGAAGGATACCCTTTGGCTTGTGCAACGCACCAGCTACTTTCCAACGTTGTATGATGGATATCTTTTAAGAATTGCTAGAGAACTTAATGGAAGTATTCATGGATGGTTTTTCAGTTTTTGGAGAGTCATTTGGCAAATGTTTGGAGAATCTTGACAAAGTTCTAGCCAAGTGTGAAGAGAGCAATCTGGTCTTAAATTGGGAAAAATGTCACTTTATGGTTAATGAAGGAATATTTTTGAGTCATAAAATCTCTAAAAAAGGATTAGAAGTAAATCAAGCAAAGATTGAAGTCATTGAGAAGTTACCTCCACCTATCAAAATTAAAGGGATAATGAGCTTCTTAGGGCATGGTGGCTTTTATAAAAGGTTCATCAAGGATTTTTCCAAGATAACCAAACCTTTGTGTCAACTGCTCTAGCATGACGTGCCTTACGTTTCCAGCTCTAAATATGATCGTGCTTTCAACTTGTTGAAAAAGGCTTTGATATCTGCACCCATAGTGAAGAGTCCTGATTGGTTTAAAACATTTGAATTAATGTGTGATGCAAGCGACTTTGCAATAGAAGTAGTGTTGGGACAAATGCACAACAAAGTGTTCCACACCATTTATTTTGCACGTAGGACACTTATTGAAGCGCAAATCAATTATACCACTACTGAAAAGGAATTATTAGTTGTGGTGTTTTTCTTTGACAAGTTCTGATCATATCTTATTGGTACTAAGGTGATGTTGTATCGAAAATCTTATGTATATAAAAGCTTAATCCTTAAAAGAATAAATTCATCTAATAATATTTTACTCTTTTTGTAAAGAAAAATCTAAATTAATTAAATACTCTTATTTCTTAGAGTAGTCAAATATTATTATTATTATTTAATTAAAAAATTATTCTAATAATTCAAACCTTCAAAATAAATCAAATTTGTCCTAAAATAAGACTGTCTTTATATTTTTCAATATGACAGTTAATTAATTTTTATCAATTTTATTTCTAATAAGCGTTATTTATGTTATTTTCAAATTATTAACTCATACTATTTATGACAACAAATAATAATCTTTTATAAAATTGTTATATTTATCGAATATTTGTTTTAATCTGTATGTAATTTTAAAAAACGTTTATTTTAAAAGGTTGGGAATGACAATTTTAAATTTCGTTATTTTTAAAAATGTATTTGCTACTGTCGAAATCAAAGTCTAAGCGGGATCTATTAATCAAGAGAAAAAAAATCAAAGTACCATACCCTTGGAATAAAAAATGATTAAGATAAAAAAATCTCACACATGAGTTTTGACTTTCTCAACTGTTACAAGCTTAAAAAATGACATTGACCATCCCTATTTAAAAGTAGAAACACAAATAAATTGCCCTTAAACTTTCTGACATTTGTCACCATATCTTCACTTTTCTTCTTGCACTTTGACCCTACAACACGGATCCAAATTTCCTGTTTATACATCAGTATACTGTAATGCATCTGAACCGTTCGATCACATATCAATGCTTAGACTGATTATGAGATATGAATAACTTGATCTTAAATCAACGTCTGAGATTTATTACATCGTGAAACTGCGGATAATCTCTACAACAGGGAACCCAGATCCCGTCACATAAAACTCATAATCGAATATACGAATACTCTCTTTCTCTTTCTATCTCTCAACTTTCAACCATAACTCGTGATTTCACCGCTCCACGATCTCATAATCTTAAATAACCGATTCTCCTTCACTTTTAATTTAATAATAATCACCTTCCGCAACCGCGCTTATCCCAAACGCACTTTTCGTTTTTTTTATAATTCCGCCATGACTAGAATGAGAAAACTCACCGCTGCCGCTGGTGCGGTTATCGCCACCGCGTACGGTGGCACACTGATCCTTCACAGTCCTTCAATCTCCGCCAACGATTTCGGAGGAGGTTCGCATCTTGACGTTATTCGGAAGAAGCTGCACGCTCCGGACGTTGTTGTTCCGTCGAGAGAATCGCAGCAGTCGGCGTTGATGGCTGCTAGTAAGGCGAATCCGCTTGACATTCTTGTCATCGGTGGTGGTGCCACTGGTGCCGGCGCTGCACTTGATGCCGTGACTCGTGGACTCAATGTTGGGCTTGTGGAGCGGGAGGATTTTGCTTCCGGAACTTCGTCGCGATCCACCAAACTTCTTCATGGAGGTACATAACTTGCGCAAGGGTGCTTGTAAACTTGCAACGAAATCATAAGTTTTTTTGTTTTTTTTTTTTATAATTTACTTCGTGTCTCATGCTTTGATATTTGATAGATAATAAATTTTTATAATTTTTTATTTGATCATAACATTAAAAATATTCAATTATATACAGCATAATAGATCAACATGTTGTTTTCCCTATTCTTTTTTTATCTATTTTCTGTTGTTTTTTTAACACCGGAGAAAGCAAATTACTATACATAACTTTGTCACCGATAACCATCTTACAACGGTCCAAATTTGTATACGAATCATGTCCATTGGAATTACAAGCTCTTACCACTTATTTATTTATTTATTTTTGTGTCAAATAGTCTTGTGGCTAGTGGCTGAAATTCATTTTAAAGATGAACAATTGGGATGTCGCAGATTCGAATTTTTGCATGTGTATCTGATGTACTGACACAACTACTAACCAAGCTTGTTTAACGAGACTATTTTCTTTTATTCTAATGGTGTTTATTACAGGTATGAATGTATAAATGTTTGTAACCGAATTCAACTAACTATATTCAGTTTTTTGGGATGTAATTGTGCCTAACAATAATGTGTTTTGATGACAAGTGTATTTGAAAACGAGTCTTTCAAAGAAAATGAAGCACACTTTTAGGATCTTAAATTTGCAATTATAAGTACAGAGGTCTTAGATTAGTGATTTCTTGTCATAGAAGTTTGAGAGGCATACTTGGATATAAGTTTCAATATAAGATTTGCAAAGGTCTGTGCATTTTAATAGTGTAGACCGTAGCCTCATTACTGCCAGAGTTCATTTCTCTTAGTGCAGTGGCTTATTAAATTTATGTGTTGTTTTTATTTGTTTTAAATTAAATTATTTCTTTTGTGTAATTGATCTAATCTAATCTAATATCAGTGTTTCTGTGAACTGTTAGGAGTTCGTTACTTGGAGAAAGCCGTCTTTAATCTTGACTATGGACAATACAAGTTAGTACTTCATGCACTTGATGAGCGTAAACAGGTTATTGAAAATGCACCACACCTATGCCATGCATTGCCGTGCATGACACCGTGTTTTAGCTTGTTTGAAGTAGTGTACTACTGGGCGGGCTTGAAAATGTATGATTTGGTCGCAGGAAGACAACTGCTGCACTTATCAAGATATTATTCCACAAAAGAGTCTGTTGAGCTCTTTCCCACTCTAGCAAAGGAGGGAAAGGATAGAACCCTAAAGGGAACTGTTGTTTATTATGATGGGCAGATGAATGATTCACGGCTTAATGTTGGACTGGCTTGCACTGCTGCTTTAGCTGGTGCGGCAGTGCTGAACCACGCCGAAGTGGTTTCCTTACTGAAGGATGATGCTGGAAAACGAATAATTGGTGCACGAGTTCGAGACAATTTAACTGGTAACTTTTCTTTTAATTTTAAGTGTTACTACACCTCATCCCATAAGAGAGTAAACCTCAGCAGCCAGAGCAGAACAGTCTCTCTTATGTAAAATAAATGCGGAACTCCAGTGTTCTGCATCGTGGATACTTAGAACTAATTGTTTTTTAAATATACAAGGTTGTTAGTTTTATTCATAAGGTTGTTTCACCTACCGGGCAATTGATCAATGCCACCTAATAGTTGATGTGAACTGAAAAGATGAACTTGCCTGTGAATGTGGTCTGTATGGTAAAATATACGCAGCTTCTTCATGAATGTGTATTTACAGCTGGGGGAGCATTTCTTAATCTGAGTTTTAAGCATAAAAATTCAAAAAATTATTTTTACCCCAACAACAATCACCACCAATTCTTATCCACTATGTGTGGTCGGTTACATGGATCAAATTCCGTCATAATGTTTTATCCCAAACCATGTTTTCTATCCAATTCGTTAATTTCTTTCTTAATAGTTTCTATTATAATTTTTCTAGGTCCCGCTTAACCTCTAGTTGTTTGACTCCTCTTCATCTAACCTATTCTTCTTACAATAAAATTTATAGGTCTTCTCTCTACATGTCTAAACCACCTAAGCCTATTTTCCGCCATCTTTTCTACTAAAAGTGCTACCCCAAACTCTCTCAAATATTTATTCTAATCTTGTCTCGTCTAGTCTTACCACACATCCAACGCAACATCTTCATCTTTGTTACACTTACTTTATTCTTGTGTTGATTCATTACTTTACGCACTTGAGCGATATTTCTACTACCTTTGTTTGATATTTTATGTAATGTAATGCAGGCAAGGAGTTTGATACATATGCAAAAGTGATTGTGAATGCAAGTGGCCCATTTTGTGACGCTTTAAGGAAAATGGCCGACAAAAATGCACAAGAAATGATTGCTCCTAGCAGTGGTGTTCATATTATACTCCCTGATTATTATTCTCCCGAGGGAATGGGCTTAATTGTTCCTAAAACTAAAGATGGACGTGTTGTTTTCATGCTCCCTTGGATGGGACGAACCATCGCTGGTACTACAGATTCTAGTACTAGCATTACATATCTTCCAGAACCACATGAAGATGAAATACAATTTATATTGGATGCAATATCTGATTACCTTAACATTAAGGTATGTTGTACCTGCCAGTATATATGATTTTTGAACTCATTATATATTCTCTTATTTTCTGAAGAGTTGGTATGGATAAAACGCAATAATGCTGTTTAATTCATGGAGCTAACCCCGCCTAGTAGAACAGCCTGTAGTTTTTGTTATGTTTCTTAACTAATATTTCTGACTTTAAATGAAGAATTCCAAGTTCTCTTAGATATTGCTTGTTCGGAAAAATGTTAGATTGTCTTAGGAAAAAATGTGAAAGATTCTATGTATTGCATTTTCCTTATTACACGGTTTGCTATTGGGAAATAAATAGCGGTGCGAAAATTGTAGGTTCGGCGCACTGATGTTCTTTCTGCTTGGAGTGGCATACGTCCATTAGCAGTGGATCCAACAGCAAAGAGTACTGAGAGTATCTCAAGGGATCATGTTGTCTGTGAAGATTACCCTGGCTTGGTCACAATCACTGGGGGCAAGTGGACTACCTATCGCAGGTAAGGATTTAATAATCAGTTTGATGAAGTTTGTTTAGACAAGGTTTCACTAACTAGGCATGATATGTTATGCGTTGGTAATCTCTTTTGATTTTGCAAAAAAAAAGTGTCGGTAATCTAGTTACTCAAGTTTACAGCACACAGTTTCTATGTTGATGAATATTGTTTGTTATGTTTTCTGTATTTCAGTATGGCAGAAGATGCTGTTAATGCAGCTATAAAGTCTGGAAAGCTGACTCCTGCCAATGGATGTGTGACCAACAAGCTTTGCATAGTTGGTGGTGAAGGGTGGGAGCTTTCTTCTTTTACAATTCTTGCTCAACAGTACAAGCGCATGAAAAGTACACATGGTGGTAAAGTTGTTCCTGGGATAATGGACTCTGCTGCTGCAAAGCATTTGTCTCACGCATATGGAACATTGGCTGAGCGAGTGGCTGCCATTGCTCAGGTTTGCTTTTGTTCCTCTATATTTCATATTGTTATTTCATCGAGCAACAAAACATGTACTGATGCATCTACCATAAAATGGACTTGGGTGATTTTGTACCGCCCCATGTTAACAATTATTGGAAAAACCAAGTCCACATATATTAAAGATAAGACATGACTAGGGTTTATGAAGAATGACACCCTCACCTTATAAATTGGTTTTTGTAAAAAGTTGAGTTAGGTCCCACTTAAACTAACATGGTATCTAGAGTTTGGTTCAATCCTCTTTGAACCATCTCGGTTACTACTGTGATGCTTACATTTGTAAAAGAGCGCAGTGCTCTGCTTTGTGTCTTTCTTTCCAGTTGTTTATTTTTAGCATTGTACCTTAACAGTTACTATTGGGGTGCTCAAGTTAAAAAAAAAACGGTGATCTGCTGTGTTTTTCGATCAGTTGTTTTTTAACATTTGTACCTTTATCTTATTGCTGTATAAATTTGTTTTAAATAGTTCAATGGTTTTCTATTTTGGTGATTGATTTTATATGCGTTATTTTATAATTTTAAAGACGAACCCAGAATTTCTCTAAATGACCCCATTGGACTTGTTAGGGGCATGAAATTATGGTCAACATTGAAAACAAATTGTATTCAATTTAGGTAGTAATTATGTGTTACATGAAAGTTAGGGAAGCACCTATCATGAAAAAGATGATAGATTTTTCCTTAGGGGCATGTGCTGAAAAAATCTAAGAAAGCCTCAGTGAGATTACATCAGATAAAAAGTAGTCTAGTAATTTAAAGTTGAAGGAAACTAAACTATTTTTATGTCTAGCCATTAAAAGTGATTTAGATTTGAACAGTTTATCATTAGATATGATGTTTTTTTTACCGGATAACCAAAATTTCCCAAGTCACAAGGCTTCATATTACAGTCTATTTATTGGTCGATGCGATTATTTAGATCTTGCGATTGATTGTAAATAAAAGATCTTGTAAACCATAGTGAGGCCATTTTGTTTCATTTAGTGTTGTTAATTTGTTTATACCGAAACATCCTATTTTTGGGGATCTTTGTGGTATGGTAATCATGCTTATTGATTTCATGGGTGTCATTGAAGTTTTAGTCAGTTTCATTATTTTATGAATGATGAGATAGAATTAACTCTATTTTGTATTTCAGAATGAAAATTTGGGCAAGCGACTTGCCCACAGTTACCCGTATCTCGAGGCAGAGGTAGCCTACTGTGCTCGTAATGAATATTGTGAATCTGCTATTGATTTCATTGCAAGGAGAACTCGTCTTGCTTTTCTTGATACGGATGCAGCAAAAAGGGCATTGCCTCGTGTGATTGAGATATTGGCAAATGAGCACAAATGGGACGATTCAAGGCAGAAGGAAGAGTTGCAGAAGGCTACAGAGTTTTTGAAGACCTTTAAATCCTCAAAAAATGCACAGTTTCATGATGGGAAGCACAACTAGTAAGTGCAAAAAACAACTGGACTATTATTTCCTAACATAGTTATTTCAATTTTCTATGACGTCCTACGTTTAATTGTGGAGTTTAAAACTAGTATATGTTATACTATGTATCAATGATGGTGGGAATCACATACCAAACATTTTGATATAGTATTATAATTTTTTTCCTTTAATTATTCTCAGGAAATGAGAAGAAAGTTTTTACATGACAAGCATTTTGGTACTGAATTCCACTGATCAATCGGTGACTATACACGCCATAGAGAGTGGCTCAACACATATTCAAAATCAAAATTTACACAAATTTATCTCACATTTGCCTTCAAATATAACATTGGCAAGTTGGAGAGTTGCACAGCTACACGACACAATAATTTTTCGAGATTGATTAGACTCTGTATATCAGCCAAGGTTGTCCACGAAATAAGGACCAGAGGGTTGTGTTTTAGTTTGACTCTGATCTTTGTATTCTGTTGTTCTTTTTCCTATAATATTTGATTATTTTTATCTATTATTAACATTGAGTTATTAATAATTTACCTAAGTGAAGAAATGCTTCATGGTACTTTTATTATGGATTTGCACTATCTGCTTGTCATACTTAGGTAAACTAAACTTTGTTACATCACAGTGAAAGAAAAACTTTAGCCAATTGAAGAAGTGAAGTGACCACGGGGACCTTGTAGAATATTGATTAAGACTGTTGCCTCCATGAAGAGGTTGTAGAGTCCTCATGTTTATTTTGTTCATCATTCGTTTGATGAAGAAATGTAAGACAATAAATTCCATTCAAATTTAATAATAACAAATGTGAGACTTGGATAATTAACCCAACTGAACCTAGAAAAGAACCAACACAACTGAACCTAGAAAAGAACCAAAGGGAAGATATGGAACAATGCTTTCCCTAGACTTAAATGTTTTGACACTAGCATTCTCTCTAATCTTACAAGAATTTATTAACATTCAAGAATTAAACAAGGGATAGCAATATTTTTTCTACTGTTTCACATCCATTTCATAAGTTAGATTTTTGAGTTGGAGATGTTCGGCCTGAATTAAGATCCATAATCTTCAATGAGAAGTTTATGTCATCAGTCGTTTAGTTATTTATTTATTGCTTTCATTAGACAATTAATATATTTTAAAAAATCCTAGACGACGATGAGAGTAGTAATTTTTTCATACCAAATCTTTTCAAAGATAATTTCCTAAATTTTGAAAAGTATATTGTTCATAATTATCTTTTATTATAATATGTTAAAATATTTATTTCTATCGATTATCTATCCAATATATTTAAATCCTTCAACTCTGCCTCACATGAATGTATAGCCACAATCCTCTGCTTTTAAAACTCTATGAAATTGGTGATGCCACGACCATGAACAAGTAACATGATGTGCTCTTCCTATCATCTTGATCACCACTCTAATATGAGTAAGAATAACCACAAACGTTGACCTCCATTTTGGTGCTTTGTTGATGTGGCATGATTATTTCATCGTATGTTATACTTTAATGTATCTCAGAATTCTCTTTGTGTAAGTGGATGATATAGTTTTGGTTTCTCTATGTATTTACTAACAATTCCAACACTATGACAAATATTTGGTCTTATGTTGCAAATATATCTTAATGAGCCAATGATTTGTTCGTACGAGATGCATGGTTAGTTCTGATTTTTTAGACGCCTAAGGCTAATAATATAGATAAACCGCTAATAAGAAATTGAGCAACTAACCTTGAATTTTGGTCATATAATAATTTTTTAAATATTTAATTATAAAAATAAATATTATTTAAAATTTATTAAAAAATGATTACATATAAATATAAAAGCGCATGTTTATCGGAGATGCATCTACATGAATTTTTCGGATATACATCTCCGAAGTGTTTCAGAACAAATTTTTTTTATAAAGAAACACATTGTATATTTGTTCGCAGATGAATTATAAAATAACAGACAAACCAAAATAACATAATAATATAGTAATAGGATGTCATACGTCACATAAATCCAAAATATAGTAACAATGTCAGGAAAAAAATGTACAAACTATAGTATTGAAACAAAATAAATACAGACAACTACTGAGTGTGTCTGACAACCTCTCATCTGCCTCATGTGGTGCCTCTATATGGTCTGCCTCCTCGGCCATCGATTCCCCTTGTCCTCGCGCGATGTCTGCGGTACAAAAGTGTGCTATGTGCCTCCGCAATAATGTCATCCAGTACTCGCCTGACAGCAGACCCCTTAGGAAAGATACCATCGTCAATGCTTGTCTGCGCCATCTCCGCTATGCGACAACAACGAGGCAAGACATCCTCAGTATGATCCATCTGAGCCTGCTGCTCCTTTAGAATCTCCTGATGAGCAGGTCTCGGCGGATCTTTTGGAGCAACCGACACCATGTACGAATGTGAGACCCTGAAGAACAACTTGATGTATTCGTCGACGTAGCTCCATTCATTAGGCGTTATGGTAGCCCGAGCCTCATCCGGTACCAGATGACTCTGAAAATCAGCAAACATCTCCTCTATCTTTATACGAGTTAAGGATGAAGGTGCAGAGACAACAATGTGTCTAGGGATGGTCTAGATGTGCCCGAATTGCCACATGACGCACTCAGGCAGATGAGGAGCAGTGATACTCGATTCGCAGACCAACCATCCAGAGTATAGCGATATGTCGTCAAATGACCGCATCTGACAGTGATCCACATAGTAGTTGAAGTGGATGTCCTCGTCAGCCAAGTGGTCAAGATAGACTCTGAAAGGCTCGGCCTCCTAGTTCCCTCTCAGTGGGATAAAAGCACAAGCATGAGGCTCCAACATGATCCAAGCCTCATGAAGGTGCATCTTCTCAATGTATTCATCCCAACATGATCAACCAGCAATGCGCGGGATGTGCTGGAGGATCCAAGCCTGAAATGAAAATAAAAAGCATTCAGGGATCAAAAATAATTACCACCAGTAGTGTCGTGCTTCCTGTGACCTGCTTTGACCTCCACTGACATCCATCTCTCAGCCTCGAATACAAATATGCAAGGCAAGTCGTCCCTAGTTATACTCATGGATTTGTGCGAGATCCAAGAAGTACCAGAGGTATGTAACGTCAGTGTAGGTGACACTCATGTCCACAAAAAGCACAACACCAACTAAAAATATAAAATAACACCTTAAAGCATGAGTCTTGTGTATGGTCACCTCCTAGGGCATCACCATCAGCCTGCTCTACTACAACGACCACCTCATCAAATCTCGCCTTCAAGAACGAAAACCTAACATGAACACACTTTGTCCTATCTACATTCTTGAGCGCCTTCCCTGGTCAGCCCCCAGATGCTCTACCATCATATCGACCGACTTGTCTTTTGTCATCCTACCATGATGGAGGAATCTCCCCATGATCGGTATATGCAACAAAGACGAGACATCGTACAATGTAATTGACATCTCACCATGCGGAAAATGAAAGGAAGAGGTCTCATAGTGTCATCGCTCCACAAATGCATTAAGTATCCCGTGGTTGAACAGAGTGTAACCGGTCAAGCATAGGTCACTAAACCCAAAAGCGGCCAGAACTTACTAAAATCACTCCTCATCAGGCTGATGCAATGCTAAAATCTTCCGCAAATGGTTCAGAAACTTCTAGGGATCACGCACCTGTAAATTTCCATAAATAATCAATATCAGCAATTTAAATTAATGTAAAAAAAAAAAGTATAGCAACTATGTAACTAATTTTACCTCTCTGTCCCAAATATATCTGACAGTGTGGTCTGAGTACAAAGGAAGTAGGGACATATCAGATGCATCCCCGCTGAAAGCCTTTGGCTCGGCATCAGCAACATCACTCTCTGGAGGTGGCACCAGTGCATCCCGATCAGCAGGTGCGACCGAATCTACAGAAGGTGGCACCGGATCTACAGGAGGCGACACAGGTGCATCTCGCCGCTTGCGGGAGGATGTGGGAAGTGACGTATCAGCTGATGCATCTCGTGGTTTGCAGGAAGAAGATGAAGAAGGTGGAGCGGGATGAGATGTAGATGGAGTGAGCTGAGATGTAGCTGGAGTGGCCTAAGATGTAGATGGAGTGACCTGAGGTGAAGGTTGAACCCCAGGAGTGGACTGAGCCTTAGAAGTAGACTGTATACCAGCAGTCGACGCCTCTCCCTGACCAGAGGTACTTGTTGCACCTGGACCCGGTTGGCTCTGCTCTTGTCTAACGGATGCGTGCTCGTCTATCTGTTCATGCCTCAATCGGTCGACTCTGTCAGCCATTATACTTGTAAGGTATTAATCGTACAATGAGTTTACGCAAAAAGAAAACTTTATAAAACAAAAAGAAAAAAAAAAGACTGAGAAAATTCCGGAGATACATCTCCAGTATCATTCAATGTTTCATGTACTTTGGGTGATTCCAGAGATACAACTATGAAAACATTTTGCAGATGTATCTTCAGAATCACCCAGAGTACATGAAACGTTGAATAATTCCGAAGATGTATCTCTAGAACATTCTGAAACTCAGAGGTCGTGACAATAATATCCTTTGCCCCCTCAAAATGAGAAATTTGAAGCACTAATTGTCCATTTGAGCGAACAAACAATACATGCAGTTACTCAAAACTATGTTTCATCTGATTTCTAAACATTTCAACACCAAACAATGGATTCTAACTCGTTTACAACAAAACTCGAATATTTCCCAAGAATGCGAAAAACTTACCCATAATTTATGATTTGGAAGATGTTGAATAATGAAATGGATGATGATTGATGATTACTAAAGCCTCGGACGAATGAAATACAATTTGGTAAAGTTGGAGAAATTTGGGAATGAGAGACTAGAAGAGTTTAGTGTATGAAAATGAAATAGTGTGAGAGGAGAAGAGTCTGACACGATAATATTCTCCAAATTGTTTCGGAGATATATCTCTGGAATATTTCAATGTTCAATTGATCTTTGGTGCGTCAGGAGATATAACTCTGGAATATCTTAATGTTTAGTTAAAATATGGTGTGTCCAGATATATATCTCCGGAAAATAGGGGCACTATAGGAAATCCGCATGGTGTCTAGGAAGCCCATGGGGTGCCTTAATAAATTCTCTTTTTTCCTAGGTCCAGGGTTGTGGGCCTAGTTGCCCTTGCCCAAGACTGTACCTGACAAGGTTCTATTGATAAGTGCCAAATATATCATTGATTACATCTAATTTTTGGTGTATGAATGTCATCGACTGTTTCAATCTCTAAATTGGATGAATACAAACTATCATAACTCAAATATATTTTTTTCTTCGCTTGAAAAAAAATCCTACACATAATCATTAATCATATCAATGTTGGTATTTTTGGATTCAATATATCTCTGCTTTGGAAAAAGAGATACTTCTTTAATATTATCTAAACTAGAAGGATATGTGATTTCAACAATTGCGGAGATGATTGTTATTTGTTGTAATAAGCAAGTCGTGTAGGTATCAAGTGTAATATAAATGTCATTAGAATTTCCACTTGAACCATCCCAATACCAAAAATTTAATCTGAAAACTGCTTTAGCTCATCATTATTTGAATTTGACTAACCATTTAGAAGTCTCATATTCTTGATAAATGTAAGAACTTCACATGAATCCCATAAGTATGATGAATTAATTGTAGTGTGCAAAACTTCTTGCATGATTCTTTTTGGTATAATATGTAGAATTATCCTAAAATCACCACCAAATACCACAACTTTTTCACCAAATAGAGTGTTCATATCACCTTCATCATAAGACTGAAGAATGTCTTTAAATGCTCTCTCAACAGCTTCAAAGTAATGTTTGTGTATCATTAGAGCTTCATCTCATATGATTAGTTTTGTCTTTTTCTATTAAATTGACTAATGCGGATTTTAGTTTTATGGAACATGTTGAATGCTTGTCAATATTTAGGGATACAAAATCTTGAATGTGCACTTCGTCCCTCAGATATTAGTAATGCAACAATTCCACTCGAACTGAATGCAAGAACAATATCTCCTTTTGATCTTATTGAGGACATGACACATATCCATTATCAGTGGGGAAACGAAAATGCTCCTATTAAAAAAGCCCCGCGAAAAGGTGTATTTTACGAAGTCATTTCCATTGACCATATGAATGATAGGGTAGACACCCTGTACAAAAGATTGATAACCTAAGCATCACCCTTTAGCTCCAACTACTCCAAATTGTAAAATTTCCTGAGTAACTGACCACATTAGAACTACATGTAAAATGATGGTCGTAACTGAACTTATTCCAGATATGATGAATTATTCTCAAATGAAAATCCATATTTTAACACCTACAACTTAGGTTGGAGAAAGCACTCGAATTTCTCGTACAAGAAAAATACTCCTCAATTTGTAATCGACCCTGCGACACATGCTACCCCATTAAGATTGCAAGAACAGAAGAGTATTGTAGCTCCACGAAAGTCAAATCTCGAGATGTTGATGAAAAACTTCGTAATGACTCAAACCTGACAAAATGAGGATTCTAAGAATCAGAACCTTCACACTAACGAAGTACTTAAATATTTTACGTCTAAAATCTATATCGTAGCTACTCATAATAAAATGCCCGAAACTCAAATTTCACTAATAATTTAACAGCAAATATCTACATCGACCACAACGTGAACTTTTCTTAGACAATTTGATATGAATTCGAAAAAACAAATAACTATTATTCCATTGTAAAGCGATAAAGAGCTGAATCTTCCTATTAACTAGAAAAAAATATATTCTAATATTTTTCTTCTTCTGTTGTAATTATTACATGAATATTTAAATAAAACTTTATCTATTTATTTATTTTAAATTATAGTAATATTTTATTCTTAAAGTTTTTTAAAGTTTTTTTTTTTTTTTTTTTTATCTATAGACGGAGTAATAATTACTCCTAAAAACTTATACATAATCGAAAATATTAAAGAATTGTCAACGAATGTTTGAGAGAGATTATGATTTAAAATATTAAAAAAGTTTTGAAAACTTTACATAAACAAACACACTAGTAACCCTTTGGAGCAAAACTCATAATGGACTTAAAACCCAACGGATAAGATAGAAACCAGAGCACTATACTATTCCTTCTTTGTTAATCTGCAATTTTAAAAAACCACCGCCACCGCGCCGGTTACTGAACAATGGGTTCGGCGGCAACAATGGCGATGACGGCACTCTGTTTCACCAAATCAAACAAACTCACTTCTTCCTTCCGCACTCTCCCTCGCCTCACCTGCTCTTCCCTCTCCTCTTCTCCTTTCAAATTCAACATCTCCTTCTCTCCCTCTAACCCTAAACCTAAACCCGATAACCCGAACCAATTTCCCGACGACGACGACGGTGACATGAGCCCGAGGATTGTTCGAGGCGAAAATGGAAACTTGAAACTCTCATCTGAACCTCCTCCAACCTTTCTCAAAGCCATGACCAATGCCTCAACAGGTACCAAAAAATCAGTAAAAAACCAAACTGCGAAAGCCAAGAAGAAGAAAAATGAAAAGGAAACAAAGGTTCGTGACGTGGCACCGCCGCAGTATTCCAAAGCAGCGCGGAGATTCTACAATGAAAAATTCAAGGACTCCGGTACACGGCTCAGCAAGGTTCTCGCCGCCTCTGGAGGTGACGTTCAGATACAATATATTTCATTTTTCTTAATCAAATTTTTATTATTTAGTAATATTTTGATTATAATGACAATTTAATGATTTTATGCAGTAAAAGAGAGTTAACAACAGAATCAAAATTGTTTAGTTTTAAAAGTAGAGAGTCTTAGTTAATTGAATAAAAAGATTCAAACTACTCATCTAAAAGCATAACTAGAATCATAATTAAGCTGGTTTGTTTCAGTTGCCTCCAGGAGAAGCTGTGAAGAGCTTATTTTTGAAGGCAAGGTTACTGTTAACGGTTCTGTCTGTAATACACCCCAGGTTCGTCCCTGCCATTAATAAAATTCTTCAAGTTAGGTTTGTTTAATAGCATGGTGTTGTTATACCATGATCATGACTTTATGGATTAGATATATAGTTAGATATTAATTAGAATCAGTCAATATTGTTTAATGTAGTATACTAGTTAGTTGAGAAAACTTGTAGATTATGTGGTAAGAAAGTAGATCAGATGGAGAGAAGTCAAACAACTGGAGGAAGAGGAAGATCTAGAAAAACTATAAGAGAAGTTATTAAGAAAGATTATGAGATTAATGATTTGGATTGAAGCATGGTCCTGAATAGCACATCATGGAGAAAGTTGATCCATGGAGCCGACCTTACTTAGTGGGATAAGGCTTGGTTGTAGTATACTAGTTAGTTAGGATTCGTCCGAAGTTGGTTATATTTGTTATACCTTAGGATCACCATACAAGGTGCATCCTATATTCATCGACTAATTCTAATAAATATCTAACTATATCTAACAAGCTTTTCAGAAAGCTATATGATTTTATTTTAAATTTTTTAATCCTAGAAACTTTTGTTTTTGGCTTATGAGAAAAATACTGTTGTGGTGCGTAGACTAAAGTGGATCCCTCAAAGGATATTATCTATGTCAACGGCAGCCGCCTTCCTAAGAGGCAGCCTCACAAAGTTTATCTTGCCTTGAACAAGCCAAAAGGGTATGTAATACTATTTATGCTTCGCACATATGATGTCCAATGCAAATGAATTCATAATTTAGTTTAATGTTCTCATGTCTTCATATAAGTGACACAATTACTTTTCCGCAGGTACATATGCTCATCTGGGGAAAAGGAGTCTAAATCTGTTATAACTCTATTTGATGATTTTTTGAAAAGTTGGGTATGCGTCACTTTGAGCTTTATTGATGATTTATTAAAGACAATGTTCTTTTGTCCTTCCTTTTTACTTTGCGATATTATGCTTGCAATGGCATTGTAGAAACCTTTTGAAACGACGTGCTATTTTGAGTCTTTTTTTTGGGACGTAGGTCTATATTTCTCTCCATTTACAATGATTTTCTCTCCTTCACCTGAAAACAATTCTATTTCCAGGATAAGAAGCATCCGGGAGTACCCCCGCCACGACTATTTACCGTAGGGCGCCTTGATGTTGCTACTACTGGGTTACTTATTGTGACTAATGATGGTATTTGGTTTCTTGTGAAATCAATTTTATCTTTGTTGAATAAATAGTGGTTCTGTTGTTTCATCTAATACTTAATCCATTGGATCTTGTTCACAGGAGATTTTGCTCAAAAACTTTCACATCCGTCATCTAATTTTTCAAAAGAGTGAGTCATTAGTTTTGATTTGTGTCTTTCTTTTCCCGAGTTTTTCATTCTTTTTAGGTCCTTGTATTATTATTTCTGAGATAGAGAAAGTTCTTCATTCCTGTAAATTCTCTCATTTTTTCAAACATCACATTTGTTTTATCAGATACATTGCAACAGTTAATGGTCTAGTTCATAAGAGGCACTTAACGACCATAAGTGAGGGAACAACAATTGAGGGTGTCCATTGTGTACCAGATAGTGTGGAGTTATTTCCACGCATGCCAGATACGCAAAGATCTCGACTTCGTATTGTGGTAAATATATCTATTTTAGATCTGCTATATCAACTCTACCACCCAATACTGGTTATGAATTTTAATTACAACATTGTCTTACAATGACATGGTATCTCACTTGAACAATTGAACTATAGTTTCTTGATACATAACATTGATGAAGTTGTCTTTTGATCCATTCTTTAATGATTTAGGAATATGGTATACGTCAAGAATGAAGTTATTGACTGTGTTTCATGTGATACTACTGACGATCAATTCTAGTAGATGCTGAATTTCCACTTTATTTTTGCACTCTTATGTTCAACACTAAAAATATTGCTATCTTATGTTTTTTTAAATCTGACCATTAACGTGAAAATGTGCATGCCATATGGGAATATCGACTTATATTTAAGTAATAATACAGGCCATTGACATCCACATATATGAATTCTCAAAATGGCTTCATTTAGTTCTGTTGAATTTACTTTTTATACATGTTAGAGCCCATGAGTTGTCAGATGATGAAAAAAAGTTGAACTTAGTTGACATTTGCTTACTTGATTTAATTTGGATTCTCGTAGGTTCATGATGGAAGGAAGCATGAAGTTCGTGAACTTGTTAAAAATGCTGGACTTGAGGTAAGCTATAATTACACATATAATTCGTTTAATGGCCCTCAAAATGCCCAAAGTTCTAATTCTTGTGCGTAATATTACATAGTGAACACAATTACAATAAATACTGAGCAACATTTCTGTATTTCACATTTCTCAGGAGTTTATTTGATTATGCTAATTGCTATTTTTCTCATATCACATAATCAAAATTGTTACTTCCATAGCATTTTCATGAGTCATTTTTGACCATTGATCGTATTGGAAATTGAATATTTCCTTGATATTAGTTGAATATAAATACTCTCCATGTTGTCTAACATTATCCATGTTTTTTGATGAGTAAAATCTTGTTAACATCCATGTTTTATGTAAAACACATCAGAAAAATCAAGCTTAAAATTTGTTGGTGTGGCTTGAATACATTGATTACTTTCCTCCTAATATTTATGGAATATATCTACCTGTGTAGTTAACTTCTTTACTGGTTTCAACTCGTGTGTTTTAGCTTTAGACATGATTGATCAATAACATGCTTAATGAGCAAACACTTTTAATCTCTCCTCAAGGTAGACGAGTAACTATTACACACATTAAAGTATTGATTCTGTTTCATGTTTCAGATTCACTCGTTAAAGCGAATTCGCATAGGTGGTTTTAGACTTCCACCAGACCTTGGGTAAATTTTGTGCTTTTAACTGTCCTTAGTTCTCAAGGGGGTCTTTTTCAGTAGAAGTAGCAGTAATATCAAATAGAATTCCATTAAAAATATTTCAATTGAACTTCATGGTACAAGTGGATTAACACGTTTTCATCTGTTGTATTTTTGTTTCAGGCTAGGGAAATACATTGAGCTAAATCCTACGAATCTGAAAGCATTGGGAGGAAAAGTTAACGAAGTTAACTCGTAATTGTTGCGGTTGCAAATCTTCCTCATTCATATTCAGATTTTGACAGTTCTGAAGCTGTTATGGTGGAATTGGCCAATGCCTGTTTGATTTGAGCTGTTGAATTCTGATAGCTGGTGCGTTACTTGGGAAGTATTTGGAATAGCGAGACACAAATTTGTGGAGTGTTTGGCATCAATGTAAGCTGAGGCTCTAGAAATCAAACATGAAACATAGTTACATAGTTTAGAAGAATTCACTAAAGATTTTAGACATTAATGTATGTATGTATATTTTGTGAAATGTAAATGGTGGTAATGTTCCGGTGATAGTGAATGATGTTAGTTTAGACAACTTATAATAATGTGAACAAGTGGTGTACCGTGCATTTCAAAATAAGCCTGCAGCAATAACATAAAACGTACTGGATTACACATCAAGACATTAGAATTGGTTTTTTTGTTTGCCTGAACTTTTTGATCTAGATAAGAATGGTCGTGAAAAAGTAGTAGAATAATTCAAAACAATTCTCAGAAGATTTATTTAAAGTTTCAAACCCACTAAAAAAAATTGATGTATGAGGACTCAACTAAAATAAATGGTTTAAAACAATATAATAACTTGTCAAAAGCAAAAAGGAAATTCACAAGATAAAAGATAAGAAATACACTAATTTATTTTTGTTTTTTCAGTTCAATCAAATATTTTATTTAGGGGAGAATTTTTTTTTATCCATTAATTATACATTGGAGTTCATTTTGCTCCATTAACTTTAAAAATATCAATATTAATTAGCGACAAATTTAACGAATGATTTTAAATTTTTTTTAAAATTTTTTTAATCGCTAATAAGATAAAAATAATTAATATGAAACGTTTTGAAAGGTTTAAAAATTAATATGAACTTTTTTAAAGTTAAGGGACTAAAATGAATTTTAATATATATTTAAGAGAAAAAAAAGTATTTTGACAATTATAAATGAGTTAGATAAAAATAGTTATCTAAGTTTTCAAAAATAAATTCTATTCTATCTTCAAATGAATATGAATCTTTCAATTATAGTATATATGAATCACACAAACGTCAGAAGTGTTTCTCAATTGTTGTAGAGATACCTTAAAAGATTTTCAACATTCTAAAAAAACATAATTTAAGATTTTTATTCGTCTCTCTAGGTTTTTCATATGATTATCATGTTCCTCTATTTTTATTATAAAGGTTGTTAAAGACAAAATATAGATATACATATGTATATCAGCTGAAATCCAATAGATCTTTAACATATCCAAAATACAATTTATTAATTTTTAAAATAAAAAATTATAAATATCTTATAATATTATTTATATTAATTTATAACATTATAAATATTTTATATTAATTTAAAGTATATTGGAGTATTCTTAAATTAATATAATATTATATTTATATTATTATAATATTAATGTACGAATCCGCAAACTAAACTGATTAAATTTGATATCTGCAAATAATCTGAATCAGACCCGCCGTCCATCAAACCTGCCTCCTTCTGACGTCTTTTGTCGACATTTTTACTATTTTTCAGCTTTATGATTTATTTAAATCTCGAGACACATTTTTTTCTTCATCACTCAAAGATTTTAAAGCATACTTTTACATTTTTCACATTGACTTGAGATCATATTGATGTCAATTTATCCATCAACCATCTTGCTGCTTTCTGCCATGTTGAATCACAATTCAACAACATTGATCAAATTAAAGTCACACTTGAACCTTGATCTTGCCACTTGCATCCACTTTCTTCCAACCACCTTTTCCTGCTTTAGTAGTCTAACAAATTCACAAATATAGTTTTTCAACCTTTTTTTTACTCCACCTACTTTTGAATGTCTCCTTGAAGGTCTCTATTTCTGACTTTTCAACCACATTTAAAGCATAACACCCAAGACCTACGTAATTGTCATTTTTAGATGGTACAATCTTTCTCCTTACCTTATTACAAGTTAAATGATAATTAGATGTCTCTGTAATTTTTCCATCACTACTACTATTATTCATAGTAGGAAGCTATACATCAAATTGAATCTTCTCTGTCATAATTTCTAAAAGAATCATTCCCAAGTCTTTACTCTTCATCACATGACGAGACCCACAAAATAATACATTTGTGATTAATGAACTTCGATCCTCCAGGTTCCACTCCTAACATCTCATAATCCTTTCTACCTCTTAGATAATCATTAAAGAAACAATCTGCAACTTTTGATCAAGTTGAATTAACTTGATTCGTACAATAGGCAAAGATTTGACGACCATCAAAACAAAATAGGTTACAATCTTCCTGCTCCAAACCTCCATAAGTGTTTTTAAGTCTATTCTTGTAAATGAACACCTGCCAACTAGGTAAGCTGCTTTGACATCATACTTAAACCAAAAACTAAATGACAAGTTAATGATTACATGTATTTTTATCCTTTGTTTTCTGAAAAACTCATTAAAGGGATTTGAAACAAACTCCACTCATCCACCATTTCTTGACCTCAAATCTCACAATTTGTTCTTGTCATGAAAGTCTTCATTAGGTAACGATGAATAAACAACAATGTTGGAACCTTCTAAAATATGTAAACCACATGTTTTAGATTTTTTTTAGCTGCGATTACTCTACCATGCAAAATATTTAACATTCCATGTTCAACTCTAGTGAAATAACTTAAATCATCAAACATGCTTATGGATAACAAATTTCGCCTGAGCTCAGGAACATACCTCATGCTGCGAAGAAGAAAATCACAATCATCCAAAATTTTAAGTTTCGTTGTATCAAAACCATGAACCTTACCATTCTTATTGTTACTAAGAAAAACTACTCCACATTGCTCAAACTTCGAAGTCTCAAAGTATTATTTTCTTGGACTCCAATAATGCATCAACACGAGTCCACGACCCAACCCTATTTAGTCTCCAAACTCGATACGAGTAATGCACAAACACTCTTTTTTTGAAAAATGAAGCACTTTACAGTTGTGTTGCACCCTAAAATTTGCTCAACCTATTTCTCTTGGTTTATGTTTCAATTGCATTGGCATTTGCATATAGGGTCATGTACATAGTCTAATCATCTGCATAGCATAGCATAGCAAATCATCCAACAAGGGACCAAGCATTATTCTCATCTCTAGGAGCCTATCAAGAGGTTCTTGTTCTAATTCAATCTCATTCAAGCCATCAGAAAGAATTTGAAAGCTGAGAAGTCAGTGGATCAAGCAGTGCATCTATCTCCTATCTGAGGGTATCTGAAGATCATCAAAGAAGTTGTGAGTTGTGAATTGAGCTGAGCATGGAGAGTATGTAGACGTCATGGGAGACTTAGAAAGTCAGTTGGAGAAGGAGACAAGTCATTGGTATGATCACAAGAGCTGCAGTTGAATACAGTCAACTAGGGTTTCATCTGGGTCAGCCCTGGGTCAACTCTAGGTCAAAGGATTGATTGAAAGGCATTGAGGTCTATTTGAGAGATGTGGGGTTCATCATTTGACATATGGATAAGGATATGGTGATATGCTAAGAAGAAATCAAGAGAAATCAAGGAGAAGAGGAGTTTCTAAATTAGGGTTTCTGTGTAAAATCCCCTAGTTTAGGTCAAATTTCCAAGCAAGATAAGTCAAAATGCAAGCTTCAAATGGATCCTTGGTCAACATGAAACTTGTAGAGGATCTCAATACCTTTAATTTTAGTGGTGGAAGACATCAAGGAGATTTATAGAACTCAAGTTATGGTCCTTGCAAGTTACAGGTCATCTGAGGTATCTGAAATTTTGTCTGTGAAAGTTACTTGTCTTCCAAGCAACTTTTACCCCTCAGGGATATTTCAAATGAATTTCTGGTCAACATAAGAATTGTTCCTCATTGTCTTAGATTTCTAGAATGGTATGGTATGACTACATATGATTTGTGGAACTCTACTTATGGTCTTGGCAAGCAAAGGGTATTTTGGTCATCTAAGAATTACAGGTCATTTCAAGCCTATGCCCAAAACTCATACAAGGAAGCTTCAAATGAAAAACTTCACAACATCAAACTTGTTCCAAATGACATTTTGAGTCTAGAAAAGTGACCATGAAAGATTGGAAAGACTCATAGCTCAAGGTTTCAAAATTGGTGGATTTAATGAATAAAAAAAGACCTAAAATGGAGATTTTTCATATTTTGACCAAATGGGGTGAAATTATAGGTCATTTTGATTGGAAAAAATGTTGTAAGAACATTGGAAAAAGTAGAATTTTGAGTTTGGTTCAAGAATTGAAAGATATGCATGGTTACTTACAAAAGAAGTTACATAATCCAAATCCAAGGGAAAGTGTGCATGGGAAGTTTCTCCAAGGTTCTAGGACTTTCCAATGACATCTATATATTGAATTGAAGAGCTTCATGCCATGGTTGGTGAATCATTGTGATCAAAACACAAGTTATACACAATTCTTCCATTTTTGCAAAACCTCTCAAACTTCATCAAATCTCCATCAATTTCCACATTTCTTGATTGGATCATCATCAACATCCTTCATAGATCAGAATTCCATCAAAGATTTGGTTGAATTGAGGAAGAACTCGTGCTAACCAATTCCATCATCCAAGGAGCAAGAAAGTTGGAATTGCAAGATTCAAGAGGCTTGGACAAGATTCAGTGCATACAGAACCTATAATCAAGTTCACTGATCAATTTCCACTCGTTACAAGCATCAGATCCAAGGATTTTAGCACCTGTTTTCATCATTTTGCACCAGGTTAGTTTCCTCTTCGAATTGCTTAGTTTAGTTAGGATCATAGAGGATTGTTAGCATAGAACTGTTAGGATAGGTTAGAGGATGGATTTCACAAAGTTTGGAGAAGTTTCATGGAGGTTATCAAAGGTGTACCAAAACTGTTGGAGCTTGTAACTCATAGAATATTGCACGATAATCTTGGATCCATAGCTCAGATTGATCAGCATGAAATGTAGATTAGGCTAGGGTAAAGATTGGCAAGGTTTGGAATGG